TTTACCATTTACCACATCACTCTCTCTCTCTCTCTCTATCTCTCTCTCTCTCTCTCTATCTCTCTCTCTCTCTCTATCTCCTTGTCTTTGTATCATTTGGTGCATTCATAAAATACATTGTGTGTGTGCGCGCGCACATCGAACAGCACCGATTAGTTTGGGTTTTGCGAGCAATTTAATTTAAAACCGTTATTGATATCCTCGACGACAGTTACTCGACAAAACACACTTCAAAGAAGTTTGCGACACATAGGTATTACACGGGAGAGGGAGAAAGAGAGTCTTGAGTGTGTGTGTTGTCGTGCGTTTGATTGATTTTCCGAGAAGACTCCTTGCACTGTGATAGATTTAATGAGTTTTAATTGATTAATGAACTGCACACATTTAATGTAGTTAATTGATATCGACGCTATCATATATGAACGATCTAATCAAAATATATTTCCATCCAAGTCGATGATTCACACTTCAAATTCTTAATCAAAAGTAATAAACATATTCTTGATCCACAAAATATTGACCAAAATCCACTTAGAATGTTCGATATCAATCGAAAGAGGAAGTAGATGTAGCAGAGCAGAGACGGAAAAGCTCATTCAAAACTTTAATTGCATGGATGGTTTACATAAAGAAGCAATCGAATTCTTGGTCTTTTCTGATATCATCCATTCAATGAATATTTTAACCAATTGCGTATGCGTTGTGAACGAGAAGAGAGTGAATGAAGAATTTCCGCCTCAAACCCTGATCAAACTTTGTATAAATGCCAAAACTAAATTATAAGCAATAACATTTGGTAACGTGATGAAATAGTTGGGTGGAATGAAAACTACCGACAAACATTTTGTTGGGAAAATTCTCTTGATCGACATAGAAAAACACCACCATCACCACCACCCTCCCATCCACTTCCATCGAGTACAAACGTATGAAGAATTTAATTTGAGATATTTTAGCCATATAAAGGAAGCGATGAAGGGAAATATGTCGGAAATGTTCTTGGTTTAGTTTGCAGCAAATTCAAAAACTCTCACCACCACTCTATGACGCTGTCAATTCGATGATATACAGTAGTAAACTCGAAGAAGAAATCCTTATGCATCATTGACTATTTCTGGGTATGTTTCCTATATATCGGAAAATGCAATAGTGGCAGTTGCGCCTGAATTCATGATTTCCTCGAAAATTCCAAATAATATTCGAATAGTTCGACGAGTATTCGGCTCAAGTTTCATTGTGTATGCGGTGGTACTATTAAACAGGCACACTACTACTACTAAGACAACATCATCATCATCATCGCACACAAAATTCGACAATTAATTTAGAAAATTATTTACACTTCCATTGTTTATACACATACACACATTGAACAGCGACGGCACAATTTATATCCATGGAAATTGGCTGAGAAACGCTTCTGAGCACTTTCACATTTTGCTATTTAAAACGCAATCACGATGCTTTCGGTTAAGATCACAAATAGTGCAATATTTCGTTAGTGCGTTTGCCGAAAATTATGCAAAATTCGGTGTCGGTGGAACTGGTTGGTTTGGCGTCGACAACGACGACGAACCACTGAACAAGCTATTGCAAAATGCAGTATATTAAAATTCCTCGAATCATTGCCGTTCATATGCAGCATATTTTCTTCGAGTTGTGGCTTTTGAGATTCGAGCTGCTGCCAGAGTAGCAGTACCACTGTCTTGTGGAAGTTTATCATCGGTTCTTTACGGATCGGTTGGCTTTAATTACTGCCAATGTTATTTGGAAATTAATTTTGCGCAAAGAAATTGCAGGAGAAATGAAGAGGAACGGGCTGAGGTTTGCTAGTTTACACATGCGGTCATTTATAAATTTCTGTTCTTATATCTCTGCCGCTCTCGTTTGCCATTTTCGCTCTCAGTATAAGCCAATTTCTATTCTATTCCATTTTCACCTCTGTCGCACCGATGAAACTTTTGAAATATTTTTGGGTGGTGCAAAAATGAAAATGTCTTGATAAAAGCGATATGTTTATCGGATTTTTGATGAACATCGAATGTGGGTCGAATTGAATGTGTCGGTATAATGATGTGAGTTTGTGTTAGTTCATCACTTTTTTATGAATGTTGCCAATGATTTATCACAACTTTTATAACTCGGTGTGGCAGATTGCGATAAAAATCAGAAACATCTCTGCCATTTTATTCTTCCATTTTTTCAGTTTATTTCATAGTGCGAAATGTGAAGAAAAAAAAAAACACACACACACACACGCTCGCAATTTACACTCGGTGACATATTTCTTGCTGTATGCTTAGAAAATGCGTTGAAATCGCCTTTTTTCTTGCCCGTTCAATTGAACGTTCACTGCTCATATGACGGCCAATCGCTTTGGCGAGATCCACTTGTTGTTGCTACTGATGCTTTGCTATTGCCGCGATGCTGCCGGACAATCTATCTTGCTATCAATTTGGATTGGTTGCTTACATACTTTGTTCCCCTAATGCCGAAGCATTTTCGAACGTTCATTTTTGACACGATGGTTCAGTTTGGTTCCAAACAATTACACACATTTCTATATGCAACATGCTCTTCGATACATTAATTTTTTTTTCTTTTTTCGTTGCTGTGTTGATGATGTTTATCATTTGAAAATGTATGCAGACAGCAAACCGGAGGAAAAAAAGTGTGTGTATTAGGATATATTCAGTATCCATCAAATTCGGTTGCAGTGTTTTATGCAGTTCGCGGACTCCATCTTTTTGAATGTGCTCGTTTTTTTCGCCACTTCTTTTTCTCTTTCCACACCGTGTTTTTTTTTCGCGCTCGCTGCCATTTCGGTTGATGATGTTACTATGCGCGGTGATCTGGTCTCTTGTGTGCATTTGCGGCAAATTATTGAGGCTATGCCATACACACACTTATTGAAGCAAACGGCTCAAAAATGGTTAGCATTTTTCAAATGCTCGTTTGAAATTTGTAGCTGGTATTTTATTTGCCTTTGTTGTCGCGGATGAGGCGATATTAGGAATGCATTTAAATGATTTTGACGCGGCTCTACGGTTGTGTTTGTGCTAAAAACTACAACTACTTCACATAGCCAACATCATGCGAATGCAACAGCAGCGGCGGCGAACAGAAAAAAAAAACAATTTGTAGTTGAGCAAAAAAAGCATCATCATTGGAAAAAAAAAAGTGAAATGAGTTCGAACAGCATAGGAAAGCATGCATTGCATCAAAAGAAGAAGAGCGGCAATCACTCAACGCCTTCAAGCGAAAAAAAAGAGCAAATCTCCTGCAAACGAAAACCAAACGCAAAAAAAATTGTTAAGTCCATTTTCGATGTGCAAGTGTTTAGAGGTGCTGGTTGGTTGAAGTTTTTTCCTTCTTCATTTGCCTCAGCATACCGAATTCGGACATCACATTGCGTCTAATGATGTATTAATGTTTAGGTGAAGTTAATTGAATGCACAATTGAGCCCAACCACAGCATGCACAGATGAACACAAGCCAATTCACCGTGTATATATTTTTTTTTTGTTTCGCTGCCACCAAAGAAACATTTACATTTTTATTAATCTATTTTCTCGACTGAATTTGGTGCTCGGCAGCCCAATGAATTATGTATGAAATGAGCCAAAATTGGGAATTTTCAACTGTATATGCCTATTTTCAGACGCCGCTCCTTTTCGATCTCACCTAGCTCGCGCTGCTTTTTTTCTTGCTGCGCATTCGCGCACCGTTACGGGGCGCGATGGGGAACCGCTCGTTAAACTATTTCTGCAAAAGCAAAACTTTTCACACTTTTACGCATTTTGACGAACATCGAGTTTGACAGGTGAACGCTATTGCACAACAACAACAGCAACGGGCACGATCCAAACGAGCACAAAACTGAGCATCGTCAAAAGCATTTCAAATATGCATTGTAATCGATCTAGGGTGATTGTAATTAAAATGTGTGCGGTTCTTTCAATAAATTGTTCAGAAATTTTTTTTCTCTGTCTTCTAATGATGATTAGTAATTAGTAATTAGCAATGGATGGAGTTCGTCCATTTTTGGAATTTACCCTGGGTCAGACGGTATGAAATCCACTAACCTATCTCTATCCCATTCTCTCTCTCTCTCTCTCTCTCTCTCTCTCCCTCTCTCCCGTTTTACAGCAAGAAAAAACGTTTGCATTGTTCTCTTACAATTCACATGGCTCTTCAATGAGTAGCTTTTTTTTGTTACGCGTTTGAATTGAATCAGCAACAGAATTTTGCACGATTAAGAAGACTCTCGACAAAAACCGAGATTCTATATATGCGCGCTATTCTTAGATGCTTCGATGCTAATTTAAATTGAGAACAATTTATTTACAATGTGCACACTTTTATTTATACTATCACGCAAGCATCGTCCGAAAATAGACGGCAACATTTTATCGAATGGGATTGAATCGGGATTTGCATTTTGCACTGTGCCTCTCTCTCGCTCACTCTCAACCTATCTCGCTTTTTGCGAATAGACAAAATGCATCATTTCACATGAAAAATCAAAGAAAATTCGGTGCCTGTGTTTGCCGCTGCTCTCTTTGAAACACGACAATTTAGAAAAGTCGCGCGTGAACCAAACAATCGAAATGTAATTATGTGGCGAATGAAAAAGTAGCAGGAACGAACGGAAAAAAAAACGCGTGTGTAGTATGTTGCAAACAACCGAAACCGGCAACGATTTCAACCGACTGTGAAATTTTTTGCAATTTGACTATTTGTGTGTGTGTGATTTTTGCCGCTCTTCCCGAAATATTTGAAATTTCAACAGAATTTCAAATGATTACTTAATTTATGACTACAACATGTTGTAGATACACGCATTGCAATTGGCTCTTTTATTTCTTTCACTCGAATTGTATTTTGTCACTATGTGTTTTTTTTTGCTGCTGCTGTTGTAGTTGTTGTTATTTCAATTATAAATTTCGATTGTTGTTTATTTCAAATGTGCGTTTTTTTCTCTGTTCTTCCATTTACAGTTCAACCAAGATTTGTATTCGACGTCAGGAGTGCCGCTCACATCATCTAGTGCATCCGTTAGTTCACATTCACCATGTAGCCCGATTTTACCACAATCGGTAGCATTAAATGCTACACAAACCGGCGGTTCAACGACAATACCAACCATACCGTTAGGTTCGTTGCATCGATCGATAGCCAAAGAAGAGGATTTAAGTAGTGTAACTAGGCAAAGTGATAATGACGGTGAGTGTGCAACATTTCATCTTTGTTTTTTTTCTGTATCTGTCTCTCTGACTCTACCTAATTTCAGCCGATTCACAAGAAGAAAGGAGAAAAAAAACATTTCATCGCACAAAACAACACCTCGCACACACTGAATTAATTGTCAATCATTAAGAATTTCATCACATATATTAGCAACACATTAATTTTGACATTTATCGATATTTTATTGTGGCGGCATGTTGTTATTCGTCGCGCTTTTTTCACTCTCTTTCTACATCTAGTTGGAAATAAAATTGACATGGAAAAAACAAACAAACGAACGAACGACCGACTGACCAACGGCTAAACGAATAATAAATGTTCAACGATTTTTAGTAGACAGGTGCATGTGGCTAGTTTTTGGCACCGCCAACTTCCTTGGCCAAAGCAATCTGGAAGCGTTGCAATGCGATCAAACCGTAAATACTCACACCGAGAAGCGCATTGTCGCAAAAAAGCGACAACATCAACTCAACAAAAACATAAACATTAAAATGTATTTTTTCTTCGCCCGCTCGCTTAGCTTGGCTTGACTCGACTCGGCTCAAAGGAAAGGAAACGAATGGAAAAACTTACAACTGCGAAATATATTTGCCATTCAAATAAAACAATAACTCATGAAGGTTTCGATTGTTTTAAATATTTTTTTTTCTTGTGTCGTTGGTTGCGCGTGTTTTTCGCCTCTATTCCATACATCATTCGGCAGTGTGTGTGTGTGTGTGTGTGTTGCCATGGTTTTTGATCGCTATTAATTTGCCCAGCAGTGTTGTCTCCTTCTCTCAGTTTCTGTCGTTTCATGTTCGTTTTCATTTTCCAATCGATTAGTCGCAAAACTCTAGCTATGCACAACGAACAGCAATGAACAGGGCAAAAAAAGAGTCGTCGTGCTGCAAACCGAAAAACAGCTCCGTCAGATCGTTCTGGTGCAATTTTCAGTTATAAATCGAATTAAAAATTCATTTCGGAGCGAGTTTGATTGACATGACATTACATAGTTTTTTTTCTGTTCTTCGTTGCGCTGCCGAGAAGTAAAGTTCATCACCGGTTTGAAAGGCAAACACACAATATAGGAATATTTTTCAACTCTGCTCCAGTTTTCAGTTGTGTTTCGCTTTAAATTTTTCTGACTTAGTAACTGGAAACATTTGGCTGGCGTCTTTTTTTTTCTGTTTGGTTTTGTCTTTACTAGTTTTCCCCTCCAGTTTTTTTCCATTCATTCTGTTCTGTAGTGTTTCATATTGACGAAGCATGTCATACAGATGATGCCAAAACTGCGAAATGAATATTTATTCACGGTGTGTCTTGGGACATTATTTACACAGTAAATGTTTTGACAATTGCATAATGAATGAAAATGAAATTCAATGGAAATGATAAACGATCTACGCATCTGGATCGATCAAAAATTTCACTATGAAACGATTCTCTCTCTCTCTCTCTCGGTACTTTCCTGGGTCACATTTCTAAATTCTCGGTCATTGTCAAACGAATTTGATGCAAGGAAAAACGAACCACAAGCAACAAATACATATCAAGCCAGAGCACCGTTATCTTTTTTAAAAGAAAAAACAATTGGATTTGAGTCCGATCAGCTGATAACAAAATTTGATGCATGCAGCCATCATTCGCATGAATTTCAATCGCTCGCAATTGTAATTCCATTGACGTTTGTTGTGCTTTTTGCGATGGCACCTATTTTTAACAATTCAGCCAGCGAATCAAGTGAAATTATCACAATGCAAAAGCCACAATTTGAACATTCCTTCATTTAATGCCATCAATTCCACTTGCAAATGACTTCCTAGCGCGCGTGTGTGTGTGTGTGTGTGTGTATGTGTAAGCGCATAGGCGCAATTATTTTCGCCGTTAAAACTGCACTCCTGCTCACTCTATCAAGCGAGCGACCTGATTGCTTGATTCCTTGTTCGCTCACTCACAAAAACATCGCTGACAATTTCAACATCGCACGGAACGCTTTTCAAATTGTTCACTCAATGGCCCATCGCATTCCCAATTCGAAAATGCTTGCTCTGCATGCCCATCGTCTTGTTTTCTTTCAATGTTCTTTGAAAAACGAAAATGAGAATCGACGGGGAAAATCGCACAAAAGACAAACAAAACGGTGGAGAATGTCAAGACAACTGTTTTTGTTGTTGTTGTTGTTGTTACTTCGTTTGAACGATCGATGATGGAATTTTCTATCTTCTTCGTTTTTCGGTGCGGTGAAAAGTTTTTTGTTGGGCCGCAAATTTCAGGCGATATCGAATATCAGTGAAAAATCACGTTCTAAATGCCACAAATTATATTTATTTTTGTGTTCAAACTGACAGGAGAACGCATAAATAATTCAGAATGGCTTAAATAGAGAGAGAGAGAAAAAGAAAAATTATCGCGCAGATCGAGTGTCAACCATGAGCAAATTAGTCGATAAATAAATGTGTGACCGTCTCCCAATCAATTCTTGACGATTTTGCCGAAATTCTATTCGACACAGCGCAAAAAGAAACGCCGAGCAGAGAAAGTATTTTACGTACAAGTGTAGATTTAGTTGAACGCATGGCATGTAAGAAAATCGACGAGACGAAAGAGAAAGAGAGACCAAAGAGCACCTCTCTTGTTCGATGGGCAATAAAAATAAAACAAATGAGATGCCTGGCTCATACAATAAATGCCTGTCTCAATGATTTGCATTCCATGAAAATAGCGAAACGAGATTCAAGACATACCGAAAAACAAAACGAAAAGAAGGAAAAAAAGGCCAACAGGCGAAAAAAATGTCGAAATCGGACCCACACACACGCACCAATCGGCTACCACTGTCCTCACCGACACGCACCCAACACATCAAATTGGTTTATCAAAATTCACACTTTTTGCTCTTGCTGTATGAGTGCGAATTGTGCGGCATCGGTGGCAGTGGCGGTGGTGAAGGCAGCCACAGACAAGAGACGAAAAAAGTGAAATTCGTTTAAGAAAAACAAGTTATAAACAATTCGCTAAATCAAAATGGAAATTTGAGCGTAAAATATTTTAAATGACTGTCACCAAACAATTTTTTCAAGAATGTCTTGTGTGTATGTGACCATTTTCATTTCATTTCGTCTATTCTTCCTACTTCCTTTGATTGTTGACACGTGCGTAATGTTCTTTTTTCTTTCCCTGTTCTTGGTCAACGAAAGAAAAAAAGATAGATAAAAAGTGAAACAGGGAAAAAGAGATAGAGAGAGAGAGAGAGACAAAAATTGTTTGAAAAATCGACATTTTTCATCTCAATTGACTCAATTGACTCCGCACCCAAATTCGATAATGATTTAATTTTTGCTTCTCGTTTCATTTCTTTGGTCGGTGTTTTAGGAACGAATTCAGGTGTACATAATGATAGTTCGTGTTCATCAGGTCCAGATTCGCCGCATACATCGAAAGATCTGCATCTAGACGGTTCGGGTACACCAACGCGTGCTCAATACTTATCAGCATCGTGTGTTGTGTTCACACATTATTCAGGTGATACGGCTACGGTGGTCGATGAACATTTTTCGCGAGCATTAAATTTTAGCAATAAGGATAGTAAAGGTAAGTCAAACAAACGCATCGCCCATATGTTTTCTTTCATTGGTTCAAGCATTAACAATTTAAAATGCACGTACAAAATGCTTCATTCAAATTCCACTCAATAAAATTAACAAAATTGCAATCGAGTAAGCGAAGTAGCGGCAGCGATTGGCCGCTGCAATGTCTAGTAAAATTTCGATCGTGAAATTCTTGAAATGTTCGAAATCAACGTTGAATAAGCCGAAGTAAGCAAATGAATTTTTCAATGAACTGTATCAAATTGTTGGCATTTTTGTCATAAAACACAAATAACAATCGTCAATACTAATGACCTGATCGGGTGGCGAAACAAGCTACAGCATTTCGAGCGAATATACGGTGGAAAAAAGAGCTGCGAAGAAAAAGATGAAGAAGAAGTAGGAAAAAAAGGCATACACAAACTGCACAAAGGAAAAGAAAATATTTAAATTTCATCAAAATTCATCAAATGCACAACACCATGGCAAACGCAAAGTTTTATCGCTCAGCCATAGGAAATAATGAAAGCCAACAATCCAAAGGCAAGCCTTAGTTTTGTGCAGCAGCTCAGTACTCTCTCTCTCTCTCTCACACACTCACTTGGTTATTGTATATGCAGCCAAAGCAACGAAAACTTTTCAGACAATTCAAGGAGGAAAAAAGGAGAAGAAAAAAAAGACTCGCACACACACATAGCAACGATACACATTCCATTCGAACGCCGGCCGCAATAAATATTTTGTTTAAAAACAATTTTTGACATCTTTATAGCCCATGTGGTTGAGAGCCGCTGCCTCACACTCGCACTCTATCTCTTTGGCTCTTGTTTTGGTTCACTTACCAACCAAACAAATGTGTGACGTATGTGTGCTTGGTGTTCCAAGGAACTGCGGCCCTATCGCCGCTCTCTCAAAATGTACTTAAAATTTGTGGCTGCACAAACATCAAAAACTTAACGTCTAATTTGGTCATGTTTTTCCTTTCATCACTTTATTTCTCTCACTCATGTTGAACTTCTTCGCCCCGGTCTTCACATGAACACTTTCATTGTATTTTATGAGTTCGCTGAAGTTGGCCTGATCCATGATATGTTTGACTTTTTATCATCCGATGAAAATGTTTATTTTTCTCTTAAAATAGTTGAATAATCACATTTTAATGGAATCGATGGGGTGGCAACAACATTCCTACCGAATGCAACTCCTTTTTGATTTTACAAACCGAAACGAACCGAAGAAAATTAACAATTAACAAAAAGAATGAATGCGAACAAAAAAACTCCTAGAATATAAAATGCAACTGCAGTAGCTGCTTATCTTTTTGATTGTTTTTAATGTCTTCATTGGGTTCACCGGCGAACAACAAAACCGAAATGAACCGAAGACGAAAGGAGAAGAAAAGCCTAATGACAAATTCAAAATGTATTTTGTTTTATGTGCGCGCGTGTGTGTGTGTGTGCTTTGGGACTGCAATGAAAAGGGTATCGAAAATGACAAAATTGAAATTTATGTTCGCAATACGGTGATGCATGTGCGCTTTGCCGAGCACGCCAATGCTATTTATTCGATCGTTGTTATTTTTTTCTCGTTCGTTTGTTTCGTTTAGCCACGTATCTACGCCACTAAACGGCGAATGCACAGGAGTCTTGATATCAAAAATAGATTAAATAGATATGTGCAATGTGCATTTTACAGTAGACATTTTAATATGTGCGCGGGCGCGGGCGCATTGTGTGAGAATTACGTTGTGCGGCTTGCCAACGCGCATAAACGAGTTTTCATCATTCGGGAATGAAACACAGGGAGCGAAGGAGCGAGAGAAAAAAACCAAAAAGTCGTGTGTGCGCATATTCACAAGCTCGATTTTGAGACCGAAAAAGTGCACTCTTACACACATACTACGCAAACGTAACTCTCGCCAAGACCGAAAAGGTGAAGTGTAAAGAGATTCTCAAAGGACACCTTTTCGTGTTCGTTTCGTATTTATATTGTTTTGCTCTATGTAATTCCTTTGCTTGTGTCGCGCTCGTTTCGAAGTTCGAACCAGCGGCACCTTTCTCATGCTTGTCTCTCGTCGTCCTCTTCGTCTTAGCCGTTGCAATAACTTTGCCGCACGCGCTTCAATGTTTATGCCATGTGCAATAAACTATAAGCCCATTTTAATGTTTGAAAATGTGAACATTAAAATTAGTGGAACCAGGGAAAGAGGGAGAGGGAGAAAGAGAAACGGAAAACAAATAAAATCAAATAAATAAAATAAAATAACGGTTTTGGGTATTGACATATAAATAAAAGTCCATTTAAAAGTGCATTTTCGGCACTGCGCCTTTTCGAATCCCAACGATGAATTTATTTTGGGTACTATTCTTTCGATGCTTAACAGAGTCGGCTATGTCTTCATCTCTTTTCTTTGGATGCATTCGTCGGGATTTTCGTCGAAGGCAACAGGCAAACTTTGTTTGTGTGACACATTTTTCTTCCGTTATCGAAGAACATAGTAACCACTTCTCTCTCTCTCTCTCTCTTCTTCTCTATTACATTTGATGCAAACGTATGTTATTCGATGAGAAGTCACCTCTCGAGTAGCACCAATAAAAATCAAATGTACTACATAAAACGCATTAAATTTATTACATTTGCGGTTGCCTCACTTTGGTTATCCATTTGGTCGGTTGATTTTATGTGTGTGTCGTTTATTCTTTGCGTTCTTTTCCGTTCCGAATCGTTTGAAAAAAGGCATACACACGTCATTTGAAAATTGACACGGCTTCATGTTTACGACATAATTTTATAGGTTTGCTCATCAACAGAAGAGTGTTAAGCAGAGGTCGAGTAACCAATCAAGAACTTTTTTTGTTCGTTTTTTTTCTCTCGTTTCTTCGTTGCTACATTTTAAAAGTCCATAAAAATGGATGAGTAGTTTTTTTTTAATGCGATGTATCACTATTTAAATGCACATCTGATTTTATTGACGACTTCATTCAAATTCGATAATCTCCCATTTAAATTGAAACACAATAATCAAATCTGAGGACAGAAAAATCTTCGTTCGTTTTGGGATGGGACAAGAAAATTGCGTAATATTTTCTTAATGACAACAACAAAACAAATCCCGAATTTAATTCAATAACCGTGTGAAAAGCCGCAGAACGATGCCCTAAATCATATGCATCTCATTTCGATGTAACCTGAATTTTATTGGTGCTTTGTGTGTGCATAATGAATTGCCCACGATTAATTGATTCATTTCATTTAGCATAGACATAATTTGTAAAACACACAAAGCACAAAACAAAAGAGCGGAAAAAAGCGGTCGTGGCGCGTGAGAATGACAAACTTTTATTGAATTGAAGATGTCACCGTAATTGCAATTACATTATAACAATAATAAATGTTAATGTGTTTTAAAATGATGCTGTCATTTGTAACGATGTAGCCATGAAAATCAATTATGAATCTGTGCGCTTGATCCACACCGCCTGTCTCATCATCACAAACAGTGGGAACATTTCGTAATTAAACGCTAATAACTCAAGAACAAGCATCATCCAACGAAAACATACAACACCAAAAGAAAATAAGAAGAAGCATATTGTAACCAAAGTGAAAGGAACGAAGACGAGAAAAACAACACATCATCAAGATGCAAAGAGTTGTCGTCGTTGTGTCGATTTGTAGCGCTGAAGATTTTTCAGAACCCGAAGAAAACTCACAAATCCACATCTAATAAACGTACATCTTTCATAATTAATCATAAGTGAAATAAATTGTTCGAGTTGAAAGGCATATCAATGTCAGGCTGAGATAGGTGAGCGCATGTTAGCATTTTACACCGAGAGTTTGTGTTGTGGCGACGGTGCGGTGCACGGCGTACACAAACGGCAAAAAAAAAACCGACAAATAAACTTATGAAGGCGCGCGCGCACGACATCTATAGTGAAAGAACGACAGAGAGGGAGAGAAAAAGAAAGAGAAGGGGCGAGGATGGATGAGTGAGTGAAAGAGCTCTTCACTCGCTGAATGAGTCGCCGAAAATGCACACCAATTAAACAATTTATTTACGTTTCGAAAAATTTAATTCGTACGTACATTCAAATGATGTCGGAGCTGTCTCACTAATTGACATCGCACAAGACACAACATGATTTAAGGAAAAAAAATTGATATGTATACTAGATTGAAGAAGAAGAAGTGCGCAACAGCACGCACCGAATGGCTGAGAAAAGGGGGCGCAGAAAATCATAATTTTCACATTCATCAGGCGAACAAGATCGCATTAAATATAACATCGACTGAGAACTAGGACTGAACAGTGAACACACACACAGCTACTTGACAAAAGTTGGCACGACACAAGTGCAAAGTATGAGTGTAGCAGCAATAATCAGCAATAGTAGTAGCAAACCAAGTGAAATGAAATTGAAAATAAAACGAAGACGAAAATTGAGTTAACTGAGGCAAATTTTCAGTGCGATGGCAGTGTGTTACAGTAAAGTGCATACCTATCAAATTAGCCAAAGTATCAAGTGCGCCATAAAACGCATCACGTCTCCCAATATGTGTGTGTGTACGCCTGTACAGTGTACACTCATATGCAAATCACTTGTGCTGTGAACTATTCCCGTCGTTGTTGTCCTACTGTTTGGCAATGAGCTTTCGTCTTCTTTCTCGCTCTTGTTGCAAACTAAGCAGAGATAATCAAAGATGCAGATCTCTCATTTCGATGAAGCAAATTTCACTTCGGTCGGTCGACAAAGAGATGATTCTAATTTTAAATGATTAATGTAACTGACACTACCGCACGACAATTTCAACTGATTCATTTAAATTGGGCATTTGTTGTACGGTGATTACAACACTTACTTTGTCGCTTTCTTTTCATTCGCACCGTTCACTCAGTCTACTCGTCAAGCCACATGGCTTGGTCGTACTGTGCCCTCACTCTTTTTCTCAATCACATTCAATGCAGATGAGAGAAAAAAACGGTGCTTTCGAAATTTTCAC